ACCACAAAAGCCAAACAACTATAACTGTAGATAACTATAACTAGTCTAAATTAATTTATGTTATTTAAACGTCGCTTTTTGGACACACACCGAAAATAGACAGCACAACAACAGCAGTCACGGCATTAAAAGCAAAGAGTGCTCAACTGAATATACCCTGTAATCAGGCACATACACACAGATATCTCCTCTCAGCTTTACTTTTTGAAAAATTCATTACTGAATAGATCGATAGTCGTCCTGTGTGCAGGGCTTAAGGTTGACGACCAAGTGTGTGTATATATCTTTTGGGTGTTATTGACTTTCTGGGAAGTAGGAAAGGGTATTTAAGGTAGTCAAATATATCTAATCCTAATCTCTATATATCTCGCTATCCAACTCTAGCCTTTATAATCTCAGTTGTTTGCGCAAATTGATGGAGTTATCGATAAAAAATACGATTTCTTTGCGCACTTACAAAAAGATATTTAAAAAAAATTTAAATCCCTTTATGACTATGCCTTCTGCCAGTTACACACATTGACACAACTGCAGCATACCCTTTTTAGTTATTTTTAATATGTACAGGGTATTTCAACAGCAACCACAACAAAGCGTGCAAAATGTTTGCCTGTCCTCAGCTGGCAGCGTCGCTGTCGCTGTCACAGTCGCTGCCTACTGCCAGTTGATTTGGTCTATTCCGCGCGCTACCCCTCTCGAAATTTCCCCTCCCTCCCATCTTCTGTTACCTGTTCTATGGGTGGGGGTATTGGTGGGCCTCGAGTGAGCACCCGACGCCAGTTTCCGACGTCAATTTATAAACGCGTTCGGTTTAAATTGCAACAAATAGTCGCTCATTGAAACTTAAATTGTGCCGACACAAAGTGAACGGCTATCTGTGTGCGACAGAGAGACAGAGAGAGAACTTAAGAGAGATAGAGAAAGAGAGAGACAGTGCATGGCAGAGCAAGTCTTCATGCCCATATAGCCATGATACAATGGGTGTAGAGCTTTGTGTCAACAAGTTTTTTGTCTGTGGCGCTTTTTGGCCATTTTTGTTGTTTTTTTTTTGTTTTTTTTTCTTTCAGCCGGCGTAAATGTTTGTCAGTTGTTGACGTTGTTTGTTGTTGTTGGGTTTTGTGTGGTCGCAGCTTGATTTGTTTAAAGTTTTCTGCCGTCCACTTTGGCATGGGAAAAAAGTTTTGTGCAGCTGGTAAACAACACAAGGCTTTTAGGCTAGTCTATAAAGATTGAAATAGATTTGACTTTGTGTGATAGTTGAGCAGTTTTTAGATGGCTACTGTTGTTGGCCGACAAACAGTTGAACTATTTTTAGTATTAATTAAACTAGAGGAGATTTTCTGAAGTCTTTTTTCGTCCTTTACTTGTATAGGACTTTGTTTTTGATCCAAAATTAAATGAACAAATATTAAAATTGATCAACGCTGATGTGTTTGAACAAGCGTCCTCAGGCTTATTGGTTCGACTTGGAGAAATATCTTGCAGTCGCGTGACTTCTGTTACATCCAAAAGGTTTTTGTTTCTAATATTATTGTCCAAAGCAAAAACAATGAATGTAAAAATGATCATTGACGCTAGGTTTGAACCAGCGCTTTTTGGTTCGACAAGAGGTAATATCTTGGACTCGCCCGTCGTCTATTACATCCAGAAGGTTTTTATACCCTGAACCCATTAAAAATGGGTATAAGGGTATATTGTATTTGTGCAAAATGCAAATGTATATAACAGGCAGAAGGAAGCATCTCCGACCCTATAAAGTGTATATATTCTTGATCAGCATCAATAGCCGAGTCGATCTAGCCATGTCAGTCTGTCTGTCCGTCCGTATGTCCGTATGTATTAACGCAAGGATCTTAGAACCTATAGCAGCTAGAGACTTGAAATTTTAGTTGTAGATGCTCTTAGTTCCCGCGCAGATCGATAACTTACTCCGTTTCCAAGCAATCGATAAAAATCGTTATCGATATCCTGTTTTTTTGACAATTTTGGTAAATAATAAGAGCTAGAGTCACCAAACTTGACATATAGCTTCTAAAATAGAATATATATATGCATTTGATGTTGGAAGAAGAGGGTTCAGGGTATCCCCTAGAACCTCCCGACTAGAACCTCTTACTTTTTTTTTAATGCTTTTGTTGAAAGCAAATTAAACGAATATGAAAATTGATCAATGCTGCAGCGTTCGAACCAGCAACCTCTCGCTTGTTGGTACGATGCTCACATATTTTCGCTAGCGGACTGCGTTGTTTGCAATGTCAGTCAGGACAAACTCTTATAAACACAGCAAGTTTAGATGTCTCAAATAACTAAGCAATTTCATGTTTTAATCAGAAATCTCTTCTTCCGCAAATTTGTGAGCTGCCATAAATAAATTGCACTTAACTTATTTTAATAGCTTTACTTCTGTAGACGGCGCTTTTCACTGGCTAACTAACCAAACTAAACAACCATTCGAATCTAACCAAACCTGTTCCCATTTTCTAATTTCAACATGTTTTGGAAGTTTCGGGCCAAAAAAAAAGAAAAAATAATAAAAATACGAAATTTAATTGCTTGGCATAAACAGTTTTCTGCCTGTTTTTCTTTAATTTCAATAGCAAACTCACACTTGCAGCAGCAGCTCCTCCTTGGGGGTTCGTCCAGAGAGCGAGAGCCCGGAGGCACAGTCGTGGCGAATTCTCATAGACAGGCCGTCGCAACGGCAGCAGCAATATAATTTCTTTAGATTAATCCAATCGATTTCTATTCAATAAATCAAAATATGAATTCGTTATGCTCATACAGCGCAGCTAACAGCTTGACTAGCCACAGAGAGAAAAAGAGATGGAGCAGCTACCTCTCGCTATTTGCTGCCCCTAGCTCGCGGTATATGTGAGCGTGCGTGTGATTGTGTGTCAGTTTGAGGCACGTAACAAATTGTTGGGTTAATTAAAAAAACATAAATCGTTTGATTTTTGTTACACGCTGGAGTGCTAACAACCGTGGCCGCGTTTGACGGGCCTTTCATCACTTGAAATCTGTTTTGCCAAAAAAAAAAAAAAAAAAAAAAAAAACACAAAATTTCACCTTTATAACGTTTAGGGGTCACAGTTTAGATTACACTGAGCAAAATGTTTGAGATACGGGTATCTACAGATATGAATTACACATAATTATAATTATTATTTTTATAATATTATTATTATAATAATACTTCGCTTGTGGTAGTAAAATACACTTATTTATCGTCACAGATAGACTTACTTCAGTATGAACTGTGTAATAGCCTGCTATGTTATGCTAACGTTAATTAACAGAACTCGGCTATAACTGAATATACTCCTCTTATAGTTTATGATCTTATTTTTTATAAGATCTTAATATATTCTGAAACTGTTTCTCCCAGTGTACTTGCTTGTTATGCTATACCTATGTTAATTAACAGAAATGGACAATAGCTGGAGATTTCCCTTCTTTAGTTTCTTAATCTATTTTCCAAAGCATATTAATTAGTATATTCAAAAATATTTTATACTCTCAAAACTCTTTCGTCCAGTGTAATAACCTGCTATGGTATGTTCATGTTAATTAACAGTACTCGATAATAGCTGAAGACAATCCTTTTTCAGTTTATTAGCCTTTTTTCATAGGATTTTAATATATGCATAACTATCTAATGTTCTTAAACAAATTCTCCCAGTGTAATTGCCTCCCATGTTATGCTAATGTTAATTAACAGCGCCTGCTAATAGCCGCTGGAATGTTGTCTATTAAAATTTTTGATGACTCTGCCCACCGAAATCGGGTACGCATAAAAATTTTCAGCACCGCCAAAAAAATAAAAACGCATCAAAATAAATTAACAAATGAAATCGGTATAAAATATATAAATAAATATTCATGATGTAATTCCGTCAAATGTTAACAGATTCGATTAATGAACCGATTAAAACTGAATTGTTATTTGAATTTTAAAATGTAAATTTCATTTTAATTTATTGAGTGCATCGCAAATTCATCAAATCGAACTGGCAATGTTCGCAGACTGTGGGCGTGTAGAATCAATTGAGAAAGGTTTAAATTCAATTCCAAGGTCATCAAGTCTCTAGGTAAACCCCCCACATAAGACCCTAGCATTTTGTAGCTGCCCTCAATTGGAAACAAAATCAAATGTGTAGTTTTTTATAGAGTTTCTTTATATTTATTTTTCGTGTTGATGTTTTTTTGTTTGTTTTATATTTTTACTTTGTGTACTCTTAAGCTTGGGATATCTAAGGCCAAAAAATGCACGTACGTATATGTGAAGCTTTTCGATTAAGTTTTTTTTTACAGTGTGTTTGCAATTTTTCAGTTTTTTTTAATGTTTTTTGTACTAGAAAGCTGGAGGAGCTGTTTTTAATGTTCTTATTATTTTTTTTTTTTGGTTGCATTTTGTAAGTTTTATGTGAGTGTGAAAAGCAGCTTGAAAAATTTGCTAATCTTATTAATTAAATAGTCAATAAGCTTAAGTAAGTGTTAATATAATATGTATATTTATGTTATTTTACACATTTATGGTATTTAAAATTTATAATTTACAATCAATTTTTGTTTGTTCGCACCACTAAAACAAAAGCAACTACAAAACTAACATTTAAATAGCAAAAATTTTAGGCAATTTTTTTTGTATATTATTTTAAAATACATAATAATAATAATAATAATAAGTGGTTTTTAAAGTACTCTCAACTCGTTGGTGAATTTTGTTGTTGTTTTTAATTTAGGTTTAAATATAATAATTATTTTTGTTTTTGTTTTTTCGTTTTCGTTTTTCTTTTTGTTTTTGTTTATTTTTAACAGCAATTTTTCAATTATCAGGTAAAAAGTTTAAAGTGCTTTCTTCAACTTTCAGAAATATTTGGTTTTCACATTGCGCGACAAGCGCCAGATTCTGCAGCCGCTGACAGCAGATCCAGTCGAGGGCTGGCGTTGTGTTTGGATCCTCTGGCGGCGCGGCGGTTGCCGCTTGTGGCGGCTCCTCAGGCCACCAGTTCTCCCAATCTCAATATGCCGTCGCCGCGCCCGGATGCATCAGATGATGATGGTGATGATGATGGCCAAAGTGATTTAATGGATTCATGGCCTCCGCACTGCCCGCCGGCGCGGCCGTATGATACCAATCGCTGGGCGGATGATGCTGCGCCGCCGGATGATACAGCAAATGATGATTATGATGTCCAGTGACCGCCAGCATGGATGCCGATGCCGCCGAGCCCGGCGAACCAGACGCCGATGCTGCCGCCGCCGCCGCCGCTGCTGCCGCTGAGCTGCCCGCCACCTGATGATGATGGTGATGATGATGATGTGACGGCGGTGGGCCCAGTGGCGGTGGCAGATACGCGGAGGAGGCCATCAGCTGCAGCGCAGGCGATGATTTCGAATCCGCATGCAGAGACTGATGTGGGCCCAGTTGCTGCTGCTGTTGCTGCTGTTGTTGTTGCTGTTGTTGTTGCTGTTGCTGCTGCTGTTGTTGCTGCTGCTGCAACAGGTGGGAGGCGCTGCTACTGGCGGTGCTGCTGCTGCCGCTGCTGGAGGCGCCCAGATGGACGCTATGCAAGGGATTTGGCTCTGATTTAATCGAGTGCGGTGACGATTTAATGCCACTGCCGCCGCTCAGGCTGCTGACGCCGCTGCTGCTGCCCGCGCTGCCCTCCAGCCGCGTCGATGGCGGCGTCTGTGCGCCGCCGGTCACAATGCTCGAGCTGGAGCTTTCCTCGCCATCGCTGTCGTAGCCGTGCGACGGTGACTTCTCGTCGATGTTGCCGTGCACCTGGCGAGACACAAGAAGGGAACGAGAGAGCGAGAGAGAGAGAGAGCAGGAGAGAGATGCATTAGTTATAGCTAAAGACACGGAGTCGGTTGATGAAGCAGGATTTAATCCCTTCCAAATGTACTTACCTTCATATGCTTGCGCAGCGAGGAGGGATGCGTGTAAGACTTATCACAGCCATTGATGCGGCAGTTGTAGGGCTTGTCCGAGGTGTGCACATGCGAGTGCTTCTTGCGGTCAGAGGAGTTGGCAAAGCGGCGATCGCAGCCCTCGTGCTCGCACTTGAAGGGCTTCTCGCCTGAAAGTAGGCAAATGAAAAGGGGAAATACGGAAAATCTTGGTTAGTTATTGTTGTTTAAGTTTAAACAAAAGATGTGCCCTGCGTCTCCGTACCGTTCTCGGAGGCAATAAATGACATTATTTATGTGCCACGCATAAAATATAAATATATGCCCATAAAAGACGCCCATTTATGAACTCCAACTCGAACTCCGACTCAAACTCAATAGCAATACAATTTAATAAAGGTGGGAAAAAGGCGACGTCTGTCCAGCATTTTTATAGAGAAAAATCATATAAATTATGCGGGATCAAGGCATTGTTTGAAATCAAACAGCGGCGAGGGCCGCACACTCGCTCGACCCCGCGACTTCCAACCCCCGACCCTGACGCGTTCATGCAGTAAAAAAAAACGAAAACAGAAAACGGAAAAATTCACCTGTGCCGCGGCCGTCTGTTGTTGTCCTTTGTCGGGACATGTGAAAAACTAAACGGACCATGGGTCAAAATATGTTGGAAACGAAAAAGGTCAAAAGGTTAACTATTATCTATTATATACAAGCATTAGAGCCATGTCCATAACACCTTTCCCAAGCAACAAACAATCCAGGTCTAAGCATTTAAAGATTGGGTGATATTTTATGGCTTATTACAAAATTATTTGTTAGCCCGGCCAAAGAGTTGCCGTTGAAAAGGAGCCTGAGATGTGTTTAAGATAACATTTTTGGATTAAGCGCGAACCTAGTCATAAATAATAAGACATATATTTTAAATAAGCACTAACCCATAATTTGGCAAATATGCGCTACATTTTGTTTTCATGTCTGTAGATAAAAAGGTTTATCAAAGGCAGGCATTTAAATTAGTTCCTAGAACGTGACAAACACGAAGAAACGTGACTAAATTATAGTTACTCAGAAAAAATATATTTAATTGCAGCTCGGATTAGTAAATGAAACTATAGTGTTGTAAAATGCATTCAGGTATTTTCAGGATTTTTCAGAAGTGAAAAAATTTCGTAAAAATTATTTCTTGTTCAAAATGTATATAATAGTTATTATAAATCAAATACTACTAAAGACAGTGTTGGAAATGGCGTAAAATGTCTTAAATAACCTCAAATAAAAAAAGAACCATTGGACTGAATCACATTTCCTTAATGAAAACTGTTAACATATGAGTTCTTTATTTAAATGTAATAATGCGAGTTCATTCTTTATTTAAGTGTTGTAAAACACCAAAAATGCCTCTAATAGATTCAGTTTTTAAATGGAAATATATAAGCATGCATTAAAAATCTGCCTAGAACGGGATCAGGTTTGAAGAGAATTATCAAAACAAACTTTCTTTTCAAAAAATTTCAGTATTTGTTACTACAGTCTTGTAAAGTGGCTTGGCTTCACACGCTAAGCAAACATATTTAAAATATGTTGTAGGTTCTACAAAAGGCTTAGTAAAAAGAAACTGAATAACATTGGCACTAAGAAAACTTACACGTAGTAGCGAATGCATAACAAAGTGTTGTAAACCACGTAAAGTGCCTTAAGTGCCTTATCAACAGAATTTATAATGATAACACATATTTATGTTACTTTCTTTTGAATTTTTTAAGCTGTTATCAAGCTTAAAGCTATTTAGCGGGAGCTATTACCTGCTCTTGTACCACAACAAGCGCCACTTTGGCTGCATCAGTTTCAATAAACGTGATGTAGACTGAGAGAGTGAGAGAAAAGAGTGAATGAGTGAGGGAGAGAAGAGCAGGCACTTTGTGAACGAAAAGTTGAGTGAAATCCCATTTAGCATATGCCATTTATGTGCCAGCTAAGCGGCCATTATAAGCATCGCCTCATGACAATTGCAGCTAAGCGGCTCAGTCGGACGCAGACCCGGCAACAGACCCGGCCACAGATGCGGCCACAGAGCCCAACTGGCGACCCACACAGAAACCAAACAGACGATGACAATAATCGAATATTTTCACACCTTGAGCTTAAAGCAGACATAGTTATGGGCTATACGAGGGGAGGGTGCTTGATTGGGGGAGTGCCCCGTTGCCTGGGAGCAAGGGGGAGAGGCAACAGTGAAAACCAACATTATTATCTGTCCCTTTGGGGGCTTTGTGTGTGCACCATATAAAAAGACATCCAGCGGAGCTCTTGGACAAGCTCAACAAGTTTCTGTTTGACTTTTTTTTTGTGAATTCGTCTTGTTGTTGTTGTCATTGTTATTGTTTATTGTTTGGCTGCCTACCTTGTAATTTAATACTAATTTATGTGCTTTATTACGCGCATTTGCATAAACTTTGAGTTTGCTTCAAAACTCAAATCAAATGATATTTCAATGTAAATAACGTGTCGCTTTATTAATTTATTTGTATTTACGGACATTTTCTATTAATTTGTCAAAATTTAAGAGAAATAAATATGCGTATTACCCGAACAATCACTCCAAACTCCAAAACTGACTGCCTCAATTATTTTGACAGACAAGAAATGATTGAGAAACAAGCGTATCGAATGCCTTTCGATGCGATCCCAGAAGGTTTACAAAGCAGCTCAACATTTACCCATTGCAGGGCTGCAGAGGGAGTGGAGTCGGGGCTAAAATGTCAAGTGTCGGCTTTACATGTGTATTTTTAAATCAGCGTAAAAGGCGCCTATTTTAAGGTTACAAATGGAATTTTAATTGAAGTTTGTAGCAGAAGTGCGGTTCCTATGAATTTGTTACTATTTTTGTTCATTACGGTATATAATATAGGTATAAGATATTGAACTAGCACTAGCTGTTCACACTAGTCTTGGGATTAGAACCAAAAACCTCTTTTTTTAATTGCCTGAATAATTGGGTCACTTTTACAGCTCAAATCTCACAATGGTGAATATGGTTATAGGTAATCAAATCTAGTTATTAAATAGATAGAATAGATAATGTAAAAACCAAACATTAGTCTGAAGATTAGAACCAGCAACCTCCTTTTTTAATTGCCGGAATAACTGTGTCGCTGGGACAGATCACAATGTAATTAATTAATTGTAGTCATTAGTATGGAATGTGTTTATCAGAAAATAAAATTAGTTTAGCTTAGTAAGCAGCACCCAGCCCAAAAGACTGAAGATTAGAACCAGCAACCTTCTATATGAATTGCCTGAATGACTGTGTCCCATGGACAATTGACAATATTATTGTTACTTAAATATTGCAAATAGTTAACAACATATAAATCGGATCTTAAAACCGCGGTAAGTTTATGTAAAAGCCAAACTTAAGGCTGGGGATTAGAACCAGTAACCTAAATTTTTAAATGCCTAAATGACTGGGTCGCTTGGACAGCTCACAGTTTTAATGTATGGAATATAGTGCTAAGATTATAAAGAAAAAAAACACTAGACTGGGGATTTGAACCAGCGACCTTCTTTGTCAATTGCCTGAATGAGTGGGTCGCTTGGACAGCCTGAATAATATAATAACTATTGTAGTTACTAGTATCAAATATGGTTATCAAATCAAGTTTTTAAATAGCGTCCAGCCCCCAAGACTGAGGACTAGAACCGGCAACCTTTCCAATTGCTTAAATAGTTCAATGTTACCAGTGTGCATTCTATCAGCACACACTTTTCTTATGTAAAACAACGTGTTATCTGTTCTTAAAATTTTCCATGCTATTTAAAAGGCTAATTACATCAATTTCAACAAGCAGCTGTCTTTTTCGTAGTTCTTCCTTTTGTTTTTCCGGCTATTTCACGCTGTTTTTCCTACGCTTCTTATCGGTCCTATCAGTGCGGCTGCATCGCAGTTTTGTGCCTGTTTTTACGAGTCGCATTATTTACTATGTGTATGCCATAGAGAGCATAACCCATATGGGCAGCTCCTGGTGCGCTTTGCGGTCGAAACTCAGCGGGGTGGGGAAGAGGGGCGAGGCCGAGCAGGAGGAGAGAGTAGTGCACGACACGCGCCTGGCAGAAGAAAGGGGTTTGTGTATTCGCTGAAATAACGCATAATTTTCACATTTCAAAAATAAAAAACGAGCATTTAAATATTTTATTGCTTTAAGTTTTGAGCCTGGAAGAGGGGCGGGGGCAGGAGGGTGAAAGGCAACCAAAATCGTAGCCCCATTTATAAAATGTCAATTTCAGAGCCAAAAGACATTTCCACACACACTTTCAAAGGACGTCCAGGCCATGCAAATCCCATTTAGGCTGTGCGCATTGCCAAACTTATTTAAATATTTCAATAAAGTAAATCCCAAGCCTGTACATAAAAGTAGGAAGACGCAACAGCAGAACTTTGAAATAGGCCGCTTTAGAAATGTGCTTTGCATATTTTGCGGCGCCTACGCGCCCGTTAACCGAAGCCCAAATTGTTAATTTCGTGACGCCTGGCGCCTGGCGCCCGGAACGCGTGGAATTGGCACATGGTCTATCATGGCGGCAATGTCCTCGTGTACAGCCGCGTTTTTATGTTCATTTTTTTTCCATTTCTTGGGGGTTGGTTGGTTCGTTTTCGGGGGTTGGCATTGCTTTGTAATCTGTTTGTGGGTGGCTTTAGCCAAGAAATGTTCGACCCGAGGGTAAGTGTGTATATGTATATATATATATATATTATGTGTGGCTTATATAAAACGCTGGCTATGTGCACAAAAAGCATATCACATGTTTTTGGCTTTTATATAAACGCAAAGCTGCTGTCATTTGCAGACACTGTCGAGCGTTACGGCCGGGTTCGCAGCTCGCAGCTCGGAACTCAGCTTCGGTACTATGTCTAGGTCTCTTCAATGTCTCACAGTGTGTTCGGTTGTGTGTGTTGTGTATGTTTTACTTTTGAGGCGTTGTTTTCTGTTGCCAGCTCTGCTCGATGAGGGGGTTTTGTGTTGGGCGTAGTCGTCGAAAGAAAAAAAAAATACAAAAATTGAATTTTGCTAAACGTCTCTTAAGTGCTTCGCCCAGGCTGGGGGAAATGCCTACAATATGCTTTTCTTTGTTGTACAGCACTGAAAATATGCTACGAGTTTGCGTGTTGTTG